AACTCGGTTTAAAGGTTTACTGAGAATGTAATCTAATAGATTATAAGGGAGTTTAACTTATAATAAATACAGTTGGTAATTTCTTGGCGCTATCAGAAATAGAGCATGTTTAGTACGAAGTTACAGGACCATTTCATTTCGTTGAATGAAAACATTTGTTGATTCAATAGCCTACGTTACTATCATGAAACGGTTTTCTGATAGATCCAACCATGTTGGTTAATGCTGACTATGTTGTTGTGGTTCATAACGCTATATTTATTGATGATGAGAGACGAATGACAATGTTCAGACAAGGTCCATTGTGCGTTAGATTCTAAATTTCAAAATTACTGAAAGTTTGTTTTAATCTCTAAATCGATTATTTCCTCTCGTATCATATGATTTATACCTGATACTTTCCACTATCTTGACAATTTCATCTCAATGTACCTGTATAGTGTGACAACTTGAACCAAAAATTTCGCCAGGTTTCTGAATTGTGTATACTCCACTTTGCTAGTTACAGCTTGTGTTTAGCTTTGTACAGCGTGACTTCTCCGCTATGATCACCTTTTGAAAATGATTATGTATCTCTGTTCACTTTTTAATTTCACATATCTAATCACAGCCAAATTAACACATTCATTCATTTGTACTCAAACAATGCATCACACAATATTTCATTTCTTATCTAACATTAATTAAACTCATTACTCCCGATCGTTGATGCTACCTTGAGGTCGTGGTCGGGCTTACCTATCGTGATGAAACAAACGAGCTATACTGGATGGAAAAATTATTCCACAAGGTCCTACTATGTCAGATAGGTCGGTTGAAGAGCGGTAAGACTAAAAGTAACAAACTCAAGGTCCGAAGGCGAAGTTGTACTGCTGACTGTACAGAGGTGTGACGACAGTAAAGTATTTCTTTCAGACAACCAGCACGACAGCGATTCTTCCTTCCCACAAGGAAGGTTCGGGTTAGAAAGGTTTGGCCCTAAAAATGCACACCTCGTCTTATCCGTCTCTGTCGGTAAACTAACACAAAAATTACTCACAGAAAAATCGTGTTTGACCGACCTCAAGCAGTTGTCCCTTTGGGCACTGCGGTCACGCTCTCAGGTCACTAAGACCACCTCCAATCCAATTTCCTTTTCAGGTACCTCCAGGAGAACTCTTCCACTGTGTGGGCACCCGGAAGTGATAATCGCCCGCATACCTCTCACAGCACTCAAGATCACTGTATTCAAAATCAATCTCTCTCTTCAATTCCCTTAAACTTATTACAAATTAAAGTAACTGGATTGTCTATATTAGTAATTATTTGTATGTTATTGACTTATAATATACTCAAACTGTGAATGCATTTTCATCGTCCTGAAAGATAATATATAATATGTAATATGTGGTTCGTAACATCATTCAAAAATTGCTAGAATAAACAAACATTGGAAATGATTATAAAGAATTCAAACTACTTATATGTTCATTATCAGTAGTACACATTACATAAAATGAAGAGATAGGACTTAGAATATGCAGTTAATCAACCATAAACAACTTTAGGAGTATTCATGATTGATACTACTACTGAATCGCAAACCTCCCTGATGGTGTGAATGTTTCGTGTTACTGTAAACATGTAAACATATGGATGTTATTGTAAAGAATATTTTCTATTTATTATTTGTATGACTATATCAAATTTTAACAATTGAGGAAATGATATCATTCGATATTGATTCAAGTTCCTGTTCACATCAGTTGATTATCATTTTTTAGTTGACTGGATGATCACGAATAAGTTATGTGAATGAGTCAGACAATCAGAAGCTGATTGACATTGGAATTCAAAGATTAGGAATAAAGTATGACAGAATAAGATCATGAGTATTTGTGAGTAGTTACTTTATATAATTCACAAATGCATGTTAGTTCAAAGACTTCATGAATGATAACAAGAGAACTTTTATTTGACAAAGTAAGTTAGTAATCATCATTTTTGGCAGGCATGAAGAATAACATGGCGGGTTAACTGTTTACTACTGATTCGAATGGTGTATCTTAAATATTAAACGAACTGATAATCCCTTCAAGTAATCTCATTCACTTCTCTTCCAAACAAAAATTAGAGAATTTAATAATCACCTAAATGTACAGTGATTAACACCTAGTAAAACTTAAATGTTTACAATAATTCTCAACTGTTTATCTATCATTTTCATATAGTTTGACTGATAATGATTATCGAACTCCACCTGGGGTTCCTCTGGGGCTACTGCCAGTTCAAAGCCCACAAAAAGAAGGAGGGTTGGACATGGGGTTAGCGACCACACTCCGTAGAAAACTAACTCGCTTAAAAAAACACTAAACAGACAAAATAATTTAAACCATTTAAACTTTATCCTGGAAGTTGGAAGGTCTCCCTTTAGAAAAGTTATGACATCTCATGATGAATGCCGAATTCCTTCGGAAGTCACGAGACCTCTTCTGACAACCAAAATAACCATTTATCTAGGTACATGAAATGCTTGTATAATGTGAGAGACCGAGAGAGTCATCCAAGTTGCTGCCAAAATGAAAAAGAAAACACACATCGAACCTGATAGATTGAACGATTTTCATACGAAAATATCGATGGTGAACTATTGATGAATTGAACATCAATATCCAATCCATAAATCTTTTTTTTTTTATTTTTTAAAACTGAACTTCTGTCTAATACACTTTCATTCATTACAAAATACATTTTGTTGCTAAATAAGAAAAACAAATATTTCAATCACAAGTTTCATTAAAACACATATTGACATTGATCATTTGCATTGATCATTCATCTTGACATTTAATTGGATCATTTAGCACATAATCACATTGAATTGATCGAGTATATTAGTTTCTCTCTCTCTCTCTCTCTCTTTTTTGTTTGGTTTTTCACTCACCATTAACAAGTAAGTGGTTAAAATTAATTAATTTAATGTTTAAATGAGTTACTATGCAGTAAAGTTTTGTAATTCATTCAATTTATATACTAAATGTAAATATGTGAATGATAAATATTTGTCAAGATATTGAGATTAGTCAATGGGTAATAAGAAATATATTTTGTACAATTATATAATTGTCTCAGTTCTATTGGACAAATCAAGAGCGGTAAAGTAGGAGGATCAGACAACATTCCAGTAGAAGTATTGAAAGTAGATGTAGAAGTAATGGCAAAGATACTCAACATTCTCTTCAACAAGGTTTGGAATGAAGAACAAGTACCAACAGACTGAAAAGAAAGACACTTCATCAAGATATCAAAGAAAGGCGATCTTAGCAAGTGTAACAACTACAAAGGCATCACTCTTCTCTCAATACAAGGAAAAGTCCTCAACAGGGTATTGTTAAACAAAATGAAGGACTCCGTAGACGCCCAAATTTGAGACCAATAGGATGGATTCCGTAAGGATCGATCGTGTACAGACCAAATCTCAACACTATAGATCATTGTGGAACAATCAATTGAATGGGATTCATCACTCTACATAAACTTCATTGACTACGACAAAGTATTTGACAGCATGGACAGGAAAACACTATGGAAGCTTCTTCGACACTACGGCGTACCTGAAAAGATAGTCAATATCATACGGAATTCCTATGATGGATTAAACTGCAAAGTCGTGCATGAGGGGACAGGTCACAGACTCATTCGAAGTAAAGATAGGTGTTAAACAAGGTTGCTTACCCTCACCCATTCTCTACCTGCTGATGATCGACTGGATCATGAAGACGCCAACATCTGGGGGCGGGGAGAAGTACTGGATACAGTGGACAGCTAGGATGCAGTTGGACGACCTTCGCAGATGATCTAGCTCTTCTGTCTCACACGCAAAAACAAATGTAGGAGAACACAACCAGTGAAGCAACAGCCTAAGCAGCAGTAGGTCTCAACATACACAAAGTGAAAGGCAAGATTCTCTGATGCGACACAGCATGCACCAATCCAATCACAATTGACGGAGAAGATTTGGAAGATGTAAAAACCTTTACATATCTGGGCAGCATCATTCATGAACAGGGTGGATCTGATGCAGATGTGAAGGCGCGGATCGGCAACTCACGAGCAGCATATTTACAACTGAGGAACATCTGGAACTCAGAACAATTGTTAATCAACACCACAGAATTTTCAATACGAATGTCAAAACAATTCTACTGTATGGAGTGAAAACCTGGAGAACTACGAAAGCCATCATTCAGAAGACACAAGGATTTTTTAACAGTTGTCTATGCAAAATACTTCGGATCCTTTTACCAGACACAGACACTATCAGCAACAATCTGTTGTGGGAGAGAACAAACCACATTCCAGCGAAGGAAGAAATCAGGGAGAAGTGGTGGAAGTGGATAGGACACACATTGAGGAAGGCACCCAACTGCGTCACAAGGCAAGACACCAAATGGAATGCTCAAGGCCAAAATAGGAGAGGAAGACCAAAGAACACATTACACCGAGAAATGGAGACAGACATGAGAAAAATGAACGAAAATAGGATAGGACTGGAAAGTAAGGCTCAGGACAGAATGAGTTGGAGAATGCTGGTCAGCGGCCTATGTTCCATTGGTGGTAAGAGGCATAAGTAGGTAAGTAGTTAATATATTTGTCTATTGCAAATATAAGGAGTAATTTAATTAATTATCATCACTATCTCTACTCTCTTGAATCTTGGATTGTATGAACCCGCCTCAGAAGTGGTTGAGTCCACAACCATTTAGTCTTCTGGTGCGTATGACAATTCTTTAAAGCTAAGCTACAATTGCACCTACTATAAGCTTTCAGTATTCATCTTTGCATGTACTATCTTTTATTTTACAAAAAATTCATATAAGCTACAATTGCACTTACTATAGGCTTTCAGTACTTTATAGTCTCTGACTGATATCAGTTCCTAATGAAAATGTATATTAAGTTAAATCATTGAATAGGTTAACATCTTCAAGTTATCAATTGTCTAATTCTCCGTTTTGTAGATGGATTGGATCTATCTCATTCGTGTTATATTTGGTTTATTTCTAATGAAACAACTCATCTCTCTTCTATACATCATATTCATTTATACAATTGGAAAGAGATTATTCTCTAAAAGGAAATTATTAAAACAAGCTGGTGAATGGGCAATTGTCACTGGTGCAACAGATGGAATTGGTAAAGTATATGCAGAAGAATTAGCTAATGATGGTTTGAAAATTATGTTGATTAGTAGAAATGAAGAGAAACTTTTGAATGTTGCTAATGAGATTGAACGTAATTATCATGTAGAGACAAGAATAGTAACAGCTGATTTTACAAAGGTAAGCCAGTATGGTGAGACTATAATTATGGACCAACTTTGAGCGACACCAGACTGACATTGAGAGTGTTTACCTACATATGACGTCTAAATGAGAGTATATATATATATATATATATAGGTTAAGATGCTTATTAATTATAAGATTGTTACGATAGTCTTTATTTAGACACTACATGATCTTTCGAAATCGACATTTGAATCAATGCCTATTCAATTGTACTAAGAATCTAGACGACTATGTGTATACCTTTCCATAGGTTGTGTTATTATTATAACTACTTTATTCAATATTATATTTTTGGTACAAAATAGAATGGTCAGCACAAAATGTTTCAAAAACATTTCTGTTTCTTATTTCTTGATCGGTCTTGATGATAAATATTCAGTGATCATCAGGTAGAAGTTAGTAGTCCAATCAATCGATATTTAACTCATGTAGATTGTTTTAGCTGAATACTGCCAGCAATCACAATATCTCTGATTGAGCCTTTTATAACTTGTACAACGAAAGATTGTACATTTTTCAGAAATGCACCTGAATAGGTTATGCGATGAATAAGTATAAAATAAGCAAAATTAGATGATTTTAATAGTTGACGTCATTAGTCAATTAAAGCTAGACCAACATGGTCTTGTATTCAAGATCGATATGTCTAAGTTCGAATTTCGCGAGGTGAGATCGTGAATGGGCATTGCTCAGGAGTCCCATAATAGGACGAAACGTTTGTTCAGTGCTTCCAGGCTTTTCATGGTGGTCTAGCTTCAATTGACTCATGATGTTAACTATTAAAATTACTATAATATCCACAAAAGCCCTTTATAAAGTTAGATAACTTGCTGAAATATCTCGATGACTGGAACAGGTAGCCTAGCCATTCAAACAGGCCGCCAAATTTCTCTTTTATATTTTAATTTTTTTAAATGATAGCTTAAACAAATAACTACTTATATCTGAATTGCATAAAGAAAATATCATCAAAATTGCATTGATAATATAGGTATGTGCGAGTATTATAAGTGATGAATTAAGATTATTTGAATATTAAGAAAAAGTTTAGTACTGACCAGTCAGTCAGTTACATCGTAGGATCAAGCATATATATTCATCGGTCCAAGTAGCCATACCTCATTAGCACAACAAGATGAACACCGGATTCATACAAGTAGTTAATTCAGTGGTGGTTGATTGATTAATTGAGATTTATAATAATAGTTCTTTTGTATGTGAAAACATGATCGATGTATATATCTCGGGTATAATACAAAAAGCATAACCTATAATGTCATGGAATGAGATTGTTAAATTTTAAATAAGAAAGATTAGTTCAGCGAAGAGTTCATTCTTTGCAGCAACATTCAGAATAGTATTGTTCAGCCGATCATTGCTCACTAATAATCTTAAAGATAAATTATCGCATTTACCAATCTACTTGCTCATGTAGAGCTATGTATATAGGTCGTTCGATGGGTACTTTATCCAAAAGAATTCAGGAACATTATCCGGCGTGGCTACGAAGACGACGAAATGGTTCAATAAGAAGTTCAATAATCGAACACCTTGTGAACACAGATCATTCAATCATGATACACTCTACATCTTCTTTGCATTGACGAAGCAATAGCCATATCTTTCTTTATGTTATTTCACTGTTACCATGTCTAACAGAAGTTTATTATCATCCTGAGAAAAAAAGACATAAGTATATATTCATTTACGATTGTACGACTTTGAAAATGAATTCACCGAAAAGACAACACTTCACTGAACTAATCTTTCTTATTTAATATCTTCATGGGTATATCCCGTTTGTTAAATTTTACTCAAAGTCTATCAGTAATATGTAGTCGATGATTTTTTTTGTTGAAATCATTTAGTATAATCATGAAATTAGGATTTGGTTAATGGACTGTAATCAAAGAAGTATTGATTGAAAATTCATAGAAGATTAGAGAGTTTGTTTAATGGATTAGAATTAAACTCATTGATAGAGTTATATCACGTTTAGAACGAGATCTTCGAGTTTTATAGAATCCTTTTTTAGATCGATTTCATAGTTTCTCAAATTGATTAGCATATGTATTACTATTGGTATAATGAACTACCTCTTTGTCTACTGTATTACTTCTCAGGATCTATACAGTTTACCTCGTAAATAAGTTTCCATATGTATTTGTTCCTAAATTTGTTCTTTATGTTTTCTATATGTACAAGAATCATATCTAGCTTGTAGGCGAGGTGATATGAAATAGTTGCATACTAATGAAAAACACTTGTCTATTACTCCCTATACTTAATGATTGTCTCTCTAAGCTCATATCAAACTAAAATTTTTTTGTATCAGAAGGGGGTTTTGTGGATATTATAGTAATTCCATTGGTTGAGATCATGAGCCACTTGAAACTGGACCACTGTGGAAAATCCTGAAAGCACTGAACGACAGTTCCGTTCTATTGCCGCATCTACGATCCCGCCTCGCGAGATTCAAACTCAGGACATATCGGTCTCACGCGAGAGCGATTAACGTCTAAACCATTGAGCTGGCCGGCATCCAACAGTGGTAATGTCTAACTTGAACTAATTCATGAAATTGAGCCACACATCCGCCATCATTTTCAATGAGTTACTATCTCACAACAGACCCAGTTGAACTCCACTGATCACTGCTTCTCACTAGCACTCTAGCTTCAACTGGCTCATGATCTCAACCAACTGAAATTATTATATCCCATATTCATCCATTCACGTTTGTTCTTTTCTTTATCACAGACTGATGTCTATCAAAGAATACAAGAAGCTATAGATCAATTATCATCAATTGCTTGTTTAGTCAATAATGTTGGTATGGGTGTTCCTAAATTAGACTATTACGCAACAGCAGACTATATAACTATAGATTTTATTAAAAACATCGTTTTTTGTAATACTTTACCTATTGCTATGATGACCCATTTAGTCTTACCAAAAATGTTAAAACAATCAACAACTGGTATGGCTATCATTAATATTGGATCACATTCTGGTTATAGACCATTTCCATTTTTATCATTATATTCAGCAACAAAAGCATTTGTAAATCAATTATCTCGATCCATTTCGAATGAGAACTATAATCATCGTATTCATATTCAAACAGTTTGTCCAATGTTTGTATCTACAGCAATGAATGGTTATTGTAAAATGTCATTATTTGTCCCAAATGCAAAAGACTATGGGAAATGTGCATTAGATATGTTAGGTGTTGAACAAGAAACATTTGGTTATATTGGTCATGCAATTAAAGAATATTTCACTAGTTTATTACCAAATTCAATTTGGAGATATTATATGTTATTTATGAAATCATGGTTTGATAAACATAAAAAACAATAAAATATTATAATGTATATTTTTAGTTGCCATGGTGAATAACCATGAAAAATCGATAATTTCATATCAAAAAATTTTGATTGATTTTTCTTAATCTTTAGTTTGTTTGTTTTTGTTTTTGTTTCCATTATGTAATAATCATACATTTGAAATCAATAATTAATTTCTATAATGATCATATTTTCTTAATTCTTATTTATCAATGCTGATTTTTCTATAGAATAAGTGTGATAATCGATCAATATTTATATGTTCATGATTTATAAAGAGGTTATAGATGGATTTTGTAGAGATTTTAGTAATTTTTTTAGTTGAATTCATCAGTCAAATGAAGCTGGATCATCATGGAAAATGTGAAAGCATTAGCACAGACGTTTCGTTCTAATATGAGACTCCTCAGCAGTGCTCATCCACGATAGCGCCCGTGAGGTTCGAATGCCTAACTTCTGGACCACTGATCCGGTATCCAACAGTGTTAATATCTAACTTCGACTAATCCACGAAATTACACCACCGTACGACTTGAGAATCATATACAAGAGTACCATAACATTAAGCTCAAACATTGTCTAGTATTGAAATCTAGGAAGTTGTTTCTTTCTTATTTAGATTTAGTGAGCTAGACCTTAATGTTGGTGTTTACTCTGGGATTCGAGTCAAGTATGTTTTAATTAAAACGCTAGCTCACTATCTAGTGAGTGCTATTAAGTCCGGATAACCAATCAGTTAAGGCAACATAAATGAATCTAATTTATAAGTGTTAATGTTTCTCCTTGTTGTAAATGTCAAGAACTGCAACTAAAATAGACCATTTGCTATCATTGACATTAATTAGAGAAAAGATATATACAATTATAAGTTAATCACAATGAAACTATTGTCATCTGCTTTTTATGGCGGGAAAGAAGTCCACTTAAACTACAACTAATTTTAAAGAAATTCCAAATAACTAAGAGATTGAAGGTTGTGCATACCGTACATCCTGTTTCTGGTTACATATATACATAAACCAGAAAAGTTTATTCCATTAACTAAATTGAATTTGTTTAATTCTTTTCATTGGACTACTTCAGTACCACTTCAGTAAGTTGAAGATTGATGAATGATATTCAATCATCTTCTCATGAACTGAAAATCATTCAGATGAACGACAATTGACATAGAGAATGTATTCTATTGAACTGCAATACTATAATCTTACTATTAGTTGTTTAACAAAAGACTTAAATATCCTTGATTCTATCTATCTATCAAGTATACACATTATTGAGAAGTGTCATATAACGTTCCAGTTTTCACTGGTTTTCATTTAGGTGTCTAGCGGGATATAGTTCACAATTAGAAGTCGTATTGATTATTATACATTTCAAATTTTTGTTTTCATAATATACATCAGCTTTTTAGCTTCTCCATCATCAAAACTCATAATGATTATCGAGGTGAATTTTATCGTCTTCTATGTTCGTGAACACTTTTAAGCACTTGATTAAACTTTCAATGGTTAAGATCATGAGTCAGTTGAAGCTAGACCACCATGGAAAACCTGGAAGCACAATTTTATGAATTAGTTAAAGTTAGACATTAACACCGTTGGATGCCGGCTCAGTGGTCTAGTGGTTAAGTGCTCGGGCGCGAAACCAGTAGGTCCTGGGTTGGAATCTCACAGGGGGCGAGGTCGTGGATGCGCACTGCTGAGGAGTCCCACAGTAGGACGAAACGGCCGTCCAGTGCTTTCAGGTTTTCCATGGTGGTCTAGCTTCAACTGACTCATGATCTTAACCATTGAAATTACTACAATCTCCACAAAAAACCCACTTGATTAAACATCATATAGTGTTGTACTCTGTGTATTATTATTGACAGTAATAATACAAATAGCAGCTTTACTCAGAACTGTATGAAATTCTTAATAAAAGTGGAACATTATAATTATATGGTAGTTTTTATACAAAACATAAATCTGGTATGAATTAGCAACAATGAACTGTATAAAAATCATCTTCTTCAGGAATTATTTTGCGAGTTCTATTCAAGAAACCCAGTATTTCTAATATCATTATCATTAAAAGTAACACTCACCTTTAAACCTTAACATTATTTCAAAGATATTTTATTCATAAATTAATCTACTGTAAAGAACTAGGAAGTACAATGGTATTTAGAAAAGTGTTCAAGTATATGACTGTTATCACAAAAGACAAAATTTGCATAAGAGTAAACTTACTTCCGTATCAGAAAAGGGGTTATGTGGTGAGTGTAGTAATTCAATAGTTGAATTCATAATTCAACCAAACCTGGACCACCATGGATAAAGTGGAAGCACTGAACGACCGTTTCGTCTTAGTATGAAACTCCTCAGCATTGCGCATCCACCCCAGAAGGTCATGGGTTCGAGCGCTGAGAGTGGGATAGTGGATGTGCACTACTGAGGTGTCCTATACTAGGACGAAACGGTCGTCCAGAGCTTCCAGGTTTTCCATGGTGGTGGAAGAAATACTTAAGCAGTTTGTCAAATTTCTGTTACCAATTCGATCTTACACTGATAGCCAAGGAAGCAAAAGTGATTGTGCAAACTTATTGTATACGCAAAAGTTTGGTTTGTAAACATGGATTCTAATGGCTTCAATGTGCAAAAAGCGAACTCGTAAACGATGCGACAAATTTGATGGAATATGGTGGATAACCTTAAAATCTTTATTCAATTCCACTTATCAAGTGAACGAGCAGAGAACTCGTTATCACTCTTAATTGTCTTTTAGTCAACGAAAACGGATGATGTTTTGTTATTCGATGATAGACTTACCGAATTGTACACGGTATAAAACTGGTTTTACAGGAGCCGTTGAATTGGTGAGTACACATAGATATAAAAATTTAGTCAGTGTCTTTATAACCGTTTTTATTATGGAGTGTTTGTAAAAGATGGTACTTAGTCTGGCTGAATAAAATGCTTTTTGTACAGCCTTTATTAACGTTTGAGTCATAATTTCTTCAGTAGCATCATTTAGGAATTGTAATTTTAAGAACATCACTTTTTTTCGGAATGGCAGGTACAATTACAGATTGTAGCCTGCAGTGAAATCCAGGACTCGCGCTTCGTCCTATTGCAGACTCGTCAGCCGGATGTACCTGCATCTCAGAGTTGATGTTCACTCTGGGACTCGAACTCAGTACCGTTGGCTTCAAACGCCATCACATTATCCACTTAGCTACTGAGTTCTGATTGCCACCTAGTTGTAAACTGGGGTGAAGTTTAAATTCACTTGGTGTTGCTTTACTTGTATCTTCCTATTATTATTTAGTACTGCAATTGATCAGTCTCTTGTTGACATATGTACATCCTGTGCGGATTACCTCGATATAGACATTGCTAGCTACTATCCATCTTTACTTAAAAAGCTTGTGACTTACCACTATAGCGAGTCGATCCGCACAGGATGCACATATGCCAACAACATACTGATCAATTGTAGACCTAAATAACAATGGGAAGATACAAGTAAAACAACACCATGTAAATTTAGATAAGTACAACTGTCCTTCTTTTTATCTCCGTCATATAGTTGTCAATGAATTTCATTATGTATCCTTTCCTACTAAGCAAGTTACCAATATTAACCAAAATGTCATCCAAGCAAATCATTCTAGCATGATGAATTAAGATCTGATTGATACTTCACTAAAGAAATAAGTCATAATGATAAACTCATTGAAACAACAACAAAAAAGATAAAGAATTATTTACTCATTAATATAATTTGATTGGTTAATTATTATACACCAATAAATTTCCATGGTTATCGCCCAATTTTATTGATTTTTTTTCATTAAATTAAAAAGAAAAAATTATTTATTCAATCATTATTTAATTAATCATTAGTTTCATGACAACTACAACAACAGTATCTAACTAATTTCATTTAAACATTACTTTATAAAGTTCCCCTAGCTCCTTACTGTTCTACACCCCCGCCCCTCCAAGAAAAAGAAACACGATTATAATGCAATCTAAACAAAATTCATTTCATAAAAAACATCCATCATTTGTAAAATCAACTGAAGAATTTGAAAAACTTTTATTACAATGTCCATTTATGTCAATAATTCATTCATCAAAAATCAATAAAAATAAATTACATAATAAAATTAATAAAAAATCAATAACTGATAAACAAGATCAATCAATCAAATCTAATGAAATTATATTCAATAATCAATTATCTATCATATCAAATGAAAATTGTATAGAGATAAATCAATCTAAAGGTTTGTTTATGTAAAATGTTGTATTATTCCTTAATATAAAGAATGTAATCTATGAATATATCAGTATCATATACATAGTTCCCTTTTCTTATCTTAAAGAGAGTAAACAATGAAGATTGTTGCAGAATAATAAATGGATTCATTTTATGCTGCTAGGTTCTGCTTACCTTGCTTACTCCTGAAGTTCTAGTGAGAAGTCGTTACCAGTGGAGTTCAATCAGATCTGTTGTGAGATAGTAACTCACTGAAGACAATAGTGTACGGTGGCACAACTTCGTGAATTGGTTGAAGTTAGACATTAACACCGTTGGATGCTGGCTCAGTGGTCTAGTTGGTTAAACGCCTGGCGCGAGACTGGTAGGTCCTGGGTTCGAATCTCGAGGTGTGCGGGATCGTGGATGCGCACTGCTGAGGAGTCCCATACTAGGACGAAACAGCCGTCTAGTGCTTCAAGGTTTTCCATAGTGGTCTAGCTTCAATTGACTCATGATCTCAACTGTTTAGATTACTACAATCTCTACAAAACCCCTCCTGATATTTCTTTATTATCATTAATCTATTTTCAGTCACCTCATTACATAATCATCTAATGTTTGTTAACTCTATGAATTCTAATCACTAGTTCAATAGTCTGGAATTTTCCCTTTACAAACTATATTTAAACAAAATAAATCATTTTTAATGACCTTATGAACTCTATCGGAATCTTCTCTATATCATGATACACATAGATTCAT